ATCTCACTCCTAATTTCTTACTTTGCATTACCAGCTCAACTCCTCCGACCTCCAATTCTCGCCCACGTCCCCCTGGGGCTACGCGCTCTCCCCCGCGAGCCTGGTGTACAACGGCGACTACGCCGCGGCGCTCCCGCAGTACCCCTTCTCGCAGAACAACCCCATGGTCTCGATATCCGCTACCGTCTGCCCCATCGCCTGGCCCGTGGATTTGAACTCGGCGGCGGAGCCGCCTAGTAGCCCGGCGGCGTGCAATGGCACGCAGGTGCGCGTGAAGCTGGTGCCGTATGGGAATGCGAAGTTGAGGATGACGGAGTTGCCTACGTTCTAGGAGGGTGGGGGTTGTATTTGGACGTGTATAATACATGGCTAGGGACTCGAAATTGTGCGGTCCGAGTGAATTGATGCTCAGATACTAGAATTCTTCGAGGATGACCTGATGTGGGTATATGCAGCCTGTGCGCGGACACTGATGGCGGTTTTCCCGCGAGGGAGATGGACTTCAATTGAGAGACGTACGCATCGTGCGAGGGGAAGTCCGGAGGAGTGATACTTGGCACAATCGAATTCTCAGCCTGAAAACAATGTATTCGGTTTACGGGACCACCTACTCACCTGGCATTTTTATTTTCACGAAAACGGTTGCAATGATAGCCAACCTGAGTTGATGCTTGCCATGTTGGAAGATCCCTCTACTTACAAATTCAACCCAGCATTCATTTCAACTTCGCTCCCGACATGTCATTGATTCAAACACACCCATTCTGCATTCATCACAGTACAGGTTCTATCCTACATTTTCGCTAATATATTCCCTCCAGATAACTAAAAGAAGCAAATAATGGCCACCAGAGAGATCGCGCTCGCCAACGACATGGAGGGAACCAATGACATCGCACCGTTAGCATTGCCCCCTGTCGCGACCACTGCATTTTCAGGCGCCACACTTGTGGTGCTCGCTTGAGGGGACGCGACACTCGCAAAACTCGGCTCCGTCCGCAAAGCGGTCGTTTGAGCGGGAGGCTCACTGATCGATACCATTGAGTAGAAATTGCCCCCAGGCGTTGTCGATGGCGCCACGAACACAGTGGGCCCGCAATTCGCCGCCAATGCCTTCTGCGCTGCGCCCAACGCAGTGTTTATTGAACCTGTCGCCGAAGTGAGTGCAGCCTTGGTGGAGTCATCGAGCCTTTGATTCCAAAGATTGTCGGTCCACAATTACGCTGAGTATAGGAAGCGACGGAGACGTACGAAGCAACTTCGACCTTGGCCAGGGACGCCGCGGAGGCCGTGAGCCCCGACACGACGCTTGAAAGGGCATCGGAAGGTGGAGGCGGGGCGTCGAGAGTGAGCAGACTATCACCGATCTGGCGGTTGGCGTTATTAGCCGCGGTCAGTGACCCCTCGGCCGCAAGCACATTGGGGTCGGAGCTGGATTGTAGAAAATTAACTTGGGTTACCTCTGAGTTGAGAAACTTACTTCGCGCTGATGGAGGCGAAGCTGTTGAGAGCACTGGATATTGCAGTGTCCGCAGCGATGTTAAACTCGCCGCAATCTATGGATGACACGGCTCGGGACTGGAGGGGAGCTAGGGTTACGATCAATTGACGCCACATGGAAGAGGGCCGTCACGTACCAGCCAAAGTTTGGAGCACACAGACGACGGAGACAAGAGCAAAAAGGACAGGGGCCATTATGAAGGAAGATACTGAGCGTTGGAAGGAAAAAACAGTAATGTGTGTAGAAGAAAGGCAGACACGTCAAGTGCTGGGGAGAATGAGAATGAAGATGATAGACCCCTCTTCATCACTTTATATCATTCTGTGGATAGGGCTTGATATCAGTTGTGTATACGCACGCGGTTGCTATTCTCAAGCCATCCGGCCTGTACCGCACACTACCGATATCGGGCCAATCACGGCAGTGATGGTTGGCTACCTACCGTTCATCCAAAAGATCCAGCCGTTGACGTCTGTATCAAGGTAGGTAGGTTACTCAGAATTACTCAGCCGGTCCGACACTGCCGATCAGATCAATAATAGATAGCCGTGGAATCGCCCGCGGACGTGCGGCTTGCCTTCGTCTTGATTCTTCCCTTCAATGGTCTTGCCTAACCTTCTTTGTGTCCTCATGTATTTGCATGGAATCTTTCAAGTTGGTCTTCTCACTGGCGTAGCGGCGCTCCACAGATATCCGAGTTCAAGATCTTACCTCTTTGCTCGACTCTTCTTCCTTTTACAGGAATATAAAGACTCCTTCTGAATATAGACGTTCACCAAACCGTAATGACATTTCCGGATGTGTCCGGTCGTCTTTTCCTGAGTACGCTTCTTGCGGGAACCCCATGAAGCGCGAAATTCCATTTGTGGCCTGTACTCCGGGACTCCGGGTTTTATGATAGGTGTACATTTGTTCCAGCTGGGACGTTCGCAATTTCGGCGAATGTGGTGAGCTCATAAGCCGGGTAGGTATACGGGCCCTGCGAGGGCAGTATTCATGCCAATCGGTCATCTTCAGGGCGGAGTGATGAGATTCAAAATTGCGGATATGCAGTTGGAAATACTTTAGAGACCCGTCGACGGGTTGAACGGGCCTTAAATACGCTTTCCGAGAGAACGCATCCGACTCCCCTGGTGTTCGGTCTTGTTCACATAGATTTGAGGCGTCGCATATGAGGATGAGACTTACTTGGATATTTTGCGCAGTCCGAGGGAGAAGTGACCTGACCGTCCTGATCTTGGAGATGACAATAATATACTTACCGGGATGTTGGAATGCAGCCAGGTGACATACCTTTTAAATCATCCACAAGTAAGCGAGAAAATCAACAAAAATATTTCACGTCTAGTAGGGAATGACCCGACCCCGAGTCGAACAGGGTTCATCTACTGGATTGGTGAGTACAGACTCCCAATGCGCAGAGGCGACCGTCCGCCATCGGGTCTGTGAGGGTCTGTAGGAGGGGTATTTACCCTCCTGAGTACTGGTGCCCTGACTTCGAATTAGGGCATCTACTGAGTGAAGCGTGTTCTCGCCATTCCCAGGACCCAGGTGCGTCCGTCGATAAAATAATAAAAGCGAGTAGCAGCTAAAGAAATGGGGCTCATCTGAGTAAGAAGGAGCACACATGTAGATCAAGGGAAATATTCCGGCAGTCGCGAGATCATATCTGAGCCCACCTACTAGTTCAACATCGGCGGAGGGTATTCGTACACCACTCGAAGGCACCTGCACACATATCAGCGAGCCAAAAGGAATAATACTTCCTCTAGTGCAAACACCACAATATGAGCGGGAAAGGAACAAGTATAATACTTATTTATCAAACTTTAGGCGAAAAAAAAAATCTTATCGTATAAATCCGTTGAAGGCGGTGTAGATGCCGATGGATGCCGTTGTGGTCTGGCGGTCCGTCCCGCCACATCCCACGTCCACTTGCTCTCTACCTCCATGGTGCGCCTCATTTGGTCTCAACTCCCTCTGAAGTCTGCCACGGATGCTGCTGTCAATGCACTCAAACGTTCTTCCAACAGTCTCGCTGTCGTCGGCAACAAGGCTTATGTCTTCGGTGGGGAGCAGATCCCTCGGATTCCCGTCAATAACGAACTCTGGGTCATCCGTCTCGATGGTTTGCCCTCTAAGTACCTGTTTTTCGAGCTCAATTTAATCCGAGACAGATGGATCTGTTCATTCTGCTCCTACCTCGATGCTCCGTCCTTCTGCCCGTGTAGATGCTTGACCTATAAACCCGAGACGTCCTCTTTGTACTTATGGGGCGGTCGGGAATCTGAAGATATGACCCCGTGCAGCTCTGATTTGTGGACATACGGCTTGGAGTCGGGCCAGTGGGAAAAGCATGCGACTTCAGCGACGTCAGAGGTCGAAGACAGAAGCTACCACGCTATGTGTATTGCAGCGGACTCTCTTTACTGTAAGTTCAGTTGTCAATCATACAATGAACGGGGATGTTGACAATTGTGCTCCTAGTGCACGCTGGCTGCCCTGCCACAGGTCGGCTGGGAACTCTACATTCGATATCCCTAGGCTCCTCCATATCCGCGCCGACTTGGGCGCCTCTTTCTGCGGGGCCGGGTCCGGGCCGCGGCGGAACTGTCCTTGCTCCAATCACCATCCCAGGCTCGACGCCCCTCCTTGTGCGCTACGGCGGTTTTGCGGGCTATGAGCTCGGTGGGAGTCTAGATTACTTCAGCCCCGTAAGCGGAACGTGGGGATCGGTCGCGATGCCTGGGAAAGAAGAGGAGGCCGGTCACCCCATGGCCCGGAGTGTGCACGCGCTCGTGCCCGTCAGCCCCCCAATTGCCCTCCCCGACTCGGGTCATTTGGTCGGGGTTATGCTCTTTGGCGAACGTGGGCCCGCTCCGGATCACCTTGGGCATCTCGGCGCAGGACAGTTCCACAACGACGCGTGGGCACTGATCTGCAAGCCGTCTGCGGTCTCGGACACGAATGAGCATGGGTTCGTTTTCACTGAGCTTAAACAGGAAGGGAAAGATGGTGGTGTTCCGGAGGCACGCGGTTGGTTTGCTGCGGACTGGGAGCAGGGAGACCAAGGTGGGCGTGTTGTCGTTCAAGGAGGCCTGCACGACGCGAATACCCGCTTGGGAGATGTTTGGCTCAGGAAAGTCGAGATTTGATCTTGCTATGTGTGTGAAAAACGAAGAATATCTATCTGGAATGTACATAACTAGTTTCTATGGGGAACTCGGATATCCAGGTATATTCTTGGACTCGTCGAGGCGCACAGCATAAGCTGAGAAGTGCATAAACTCAAGTCTGAGCGAGCTCACAAACGTAGACAAAACAACACTCTCGAATTTCAGTATAGTCGGCTTACGGGCCCACCTACTCACATTTTTGAGAACATGGTTGCTCTGATTTCCAGAGAAACCCTGTATATTACATCAGAGTCTCGTTTCATTGAGAAATTACGCAACCCTTGCGAACTCAGAAATAAAAAATACAACTTCCAACAATCACACCCCGTCGGGAGGAATCGAACCTCCGTAGCTCTCATAGATCTCATGATTTTCACATTCTAGATAATAGAACGAGATGGGCCTGCCACTGGCCAACGTCGGCTTTCTGAGGAGAAGTAAGAATGGATGTAGTCGAGTTTGAAAGCAGATTGCACGCAGGCACAAGAAAAGAGAGGAAGAAAATTTGAGATTATGGAACGACACCCCAGGAGCCAATTGAATTCTCAGTGGCGATAGGAAAGACTGAGGTCCAGCCAGGAACGTAGTTCAGAACGACGCCGTGTGAAGAAGCTGGTCGGACACATACTAATCGGAGTGGTGGAGAATGGTCGCGGCGCCGGTGCGGGACACAGACGAGTCTCGGCACCATGAGCGCTCCCGGCTGACTGCAATTGTGTAGTGAGCTAAAACGCATGAGCTGGGGCAGTAGACAGGAAAAACCGCATCTCGTACAAGTTGCGCCCTGATCCGAGTGGAGCGGAGAAATTCGTGCGTGTTGGAAGCTAGGACGCAAATTCGCATCTAGGGAATTTGAGTGAGGCAGGTGGGACCTGGAATCTGTATACGGACTATAAAACAATCTGAGGATGCCAGTCTAAAACGACAGGGATTAGGCTGAACTCGGGCCCGACCGTCGAACAGGTATCCCGCAAGGCGCTGAAATACGCTTGACAGACTCTCGCATGAAGTTGCGGTGCGGTCCCACCGCTATCGAGCCGACGACAACTCTGTCGTAGCTGCACCAAGTAGATGTCAGGAGGGATGGATGAGCACGTACTGCAACGTGGGATAAGTGTTGGAAACCTGGATTACACATTCACATCCGTGCGTGCAAAATTTGGTGACAAAGGGGGGTATTGGGAATTCGAATGAAGGCGGCGGCACCTGACATTAGCGTAAACAGAGTATACGGAGGACTATAAATCATTCTGAGGAAAGAAAGTCAAAAAGGATTGGGATTACGCTGAAGTACGGCCCGACCCCGAGTCGAACGGGTATCCCGCAAGGCGCCGAAATCAAAGCCCTAAATCAAGTTGCGGTGCGGTCCCACCGCTATCGAACCGACGGTTGAGTCGTAGCTGCTCGGTGAATCGATGTCAGGATGAATGATCACGCAGGAAGGAGACGATATCTGCAATCCCGCTGACATAGGCAGGCTCTGAAACAGCAGGAAAACGACCGAGTCTATTCAATGGAAAATACGTGCCCAATTCAAAAGGCTTCAGCCAACGTTCGGTGCGAAAGGTGTGGTGTGTTGGGCCCAAAGTGAGCATCTTCGACGACTATCTTCTAATGAATAAGTAATGCGCAACCAAGTCATTTAGCGCCTACGTTCAAGGTGATAAAACTGTTCACGGGAGACGAAGGATAGGACTTGATCGTACCGAGAAGCAAAACAGCTTGGGCCATGATGGCCCGATCCCGAGTCGAACGGGTCGCCTGCCAGAATTAAGATCTTGCCCAGAAAGAAGGTGCATGCAGGTGCGGTCCACCCGCCATCGGGCCTGTGATAGAGAGGTGGGATCGCGTGTAGACGGAGTCGATCAATGGTAAATGCATGGGTCGGAAACTGAACGCGGGAGGATAAGGAGGGCGAGATTGAGGGGAAAATTCCGTACAAAAGTCGCTGGAACGGCTTGTTTCCCAGGCAGTGGCTCGATCCAGAGTCAAACGGGAGTCCCGAGAGCTATTCACGAACGGTGAGACCGAGTGCCAGGTGCGGTCTTATCGCTATCGCGCCGTATACATGGGCTGGATGTCATGTATATCCAAGGTTAGAACGGTGCTGTCGGAATTCAACACGCTGCGATTGAGCGAGAGCGTCGAGGGATATACTCACGGAATCGTCCGAGACAGCGTCGTGCGAAAGCCCCCGTGGCAGTTCCGAGTTTAAGGCATACGGCACTGGCTGCTGGTAATCGCTTTACACGGGAGGGATTGGGGAGTCCCTGCAGTCTTCAGGGAACGAGGTAGAGGGTACGGGCTCCGCGTAGAACCGGGAAAGGTTGAAGGGGTCGACGACGGTGCCCGTGTTCTTGCATCGTGTCGGTGTTCAATTTTTGGTGTCGTGGCGTCGTCCAAGTTTAAACGCACAGTGTCAGTCAAGCTATCTTCGCAAGAATGCAGAATACGGAAAGGAAGGCCTAGTCTCGTCGTCGTTGTAGCGGTTTAAGCAGAGAAAATGAGTCACTTGCCGATGCTGCCGATCAAATCAAAATCAGAATCAGATCGCCGCTGCTCCATGTGGGATTCGCCGTGCTGCCACGTACGTGCGTCTTGCTTTGGTCTCGTTTCTCTCTGGTTTTTCCTAATCTTACAGCTATTTGCGGAACATAAGGCGCGGATCATTTTTTTTCTAAAAAAAGCACTTTTCACTAATGCCCCTCCAACTCACTCAATTCTTCCCCAAATGTTTTCAAACCTAGATCAAACAATGGGAAATAATGTTCTGCAGTGCTTAGGGTATGTGTAATATTTATTTTACCCGACCGACATGTCCAAATGGGGCAACAGACAGTTTTCAGCTGTTGCCCCTCTATCTGTGAAGATAATGCCCAAGATCTCTTGAGAATCTATGAGTGGCTTCTAAATGAGATATTACATTGCTTAGGGTGCATTTTATTGCTATATTTTGAGGTATAGGGTATGAAATATCACTCAAATTTAACATATATTTGAAATCCTCATAGATCACCATAGTAAAGCAGATCTGCAGATTTTCTACCATCCTAAGCAATGTGTTATATATGCATAAGTTGTCCCAAGGCACAATTTCCGGAAACTGAAGGATAATGCTCATGCTACAGGGGCAATAGCTGAAAATTGTCTGTTACCCCCTTTGGACATGTCGGTTGGCTAACAGAAATATACCACATACCCTAAGCACTGCAGAAAGTCGTTTCCCATTGTTTGGTCTAGGTTTGAAGACATTTGGGGAAGAATTGAGTGAGTTGGAGGGGCATTAGTGAAAAGTGCTTTTTTTAGAAAAAAAATGATCCGCGCCTTATGTTCCGCAAATAGCTGTAAGCCTTCTTTGTGGTCTCTGGGGTATCTGCTTGGAATTTTTCAAGTTGGTCCTCTCATTGGTGCTTCACAGATGTCTGCGTCTCTAGATCTTGCCTCTTTCGACTTTGGTTGCTCCTCTTGCTGGAATACAAGGACTCCTGCTTGACTCCCGCTGAAAGTAGACGTTTTCCAAACCGTCATGACATCTCCACATGTGTCCAATTGCCTTTGCAGATTATGCTTCTTTCGAGAACCCCACGTAGCGCGAAATTCCGTCAATCGCGTGTTCTCCGGGAGTGCATGGCTGTCGAAGCGGTGAGCAATTTAACTGCGTTCTGTGCATTATGTGTCCGAGGCACTTATGCGCCACGCTTCTCTTCCGTTGATTGCCACGGAACCTGCTTGAAAACTGCGGACGCAGCCAATGGGGAGGCCCGGATATCTCACGCCGACTGCGCAGCGTTCGCGCTTGGCACTGCAAGTCTTCTCTGGTGTATCTCAGTCAGCCATAATTATGCGTCCTCACTCGATCCTCACACGCTCCGGAACATTTGGAGCTCATTCCAGGGTTCCTCGGACGACGGTATGTTTCAACTATGCACACCTTTAAAACCTCCTTGAAGTATTGCAAAAGTATATAAGGAAAGTGCTTCTTTCAGATCAGTATCGACTGCTCAGTACCACCATGCAGCTCAAATTATCTGGTCTCATCGTCGCCGCCGTCCTATTTGTCTCTGGAACGGCAGCGTTCCCCGAGCCCGCTGGTCATGCATTCATGGTTCCCAAGTCCACCGACCAGCGCTCGCCGTGTCCGGGACTCAATACGTGACCTAGTTTCCCCAACGCCACCCCGACTTTTTGGCTAACGCTGTCCCTAGCCTCGCCAATCACGGGTATCTCCCTCGTAGCGGGCAGAACTTCACCGTCACGCAGATCATGGAGGCCGCGCTCAGTAAGTACATCCCTTTTCTTCGAAATATCACACTCATCGCTTCGCGTGTAGACGGCTTCAACATGAACTGGGACCCAATCCTCGTCGCGGCCAAGTTCGGACTGCTCAGCGGCGCCGATGCGACCACCTTCGAGACCATGAGCCTCGGTGCGCTTTCGCTGTACGCTACCTCCGCATTTCATTCCCTCTACCACCTCATTTTCCTGATGCGTTCGACTGCAGCCACAATCTCATCGAGCACGACGCGTCCATCTCGCGCAACGACTTTGGCCCCGACGGGACTGGCGACAACGTGCACTTCAACGAGACGACGTTCTCCGTCCTCGCGAACGCCAACCCGGGGAAGGATTACTACGACGCGACGTCGGCGGGCGAGGTGCAGCGCGCGCGCCTCGCGCACTCCATCGCTACGAACCCCAACGTGACCAACACAGCCAAGGAGTTCAAGCTCCGCAGCCGCGAGTCCTCGTTCTATCTCAGCATCTTCGGCAACCCGCTCACCGCCATCGCGCCGAAGCAGTACGTGTTGTGAATCCATGACCACTCAAAGGTGATGGGCACTGATTGAATTGGTTGGTGCAGGTTTGTCCAGATTTTCTTTCGCGAAGAGCGCCTCCCTTTTGCTGAGGGATGGCAGAAGCCGACCACGCTGATCACCAGCGACACCTTGAACCCCATCAGCAGAGTGATACAGAATGCGTCGCAGTGGAGTGCCACTCAGCAGTGCGAGCCTCTCGTCCTCGGATCCGGCGTGGTGCTTTAGTAGCCTCTGGTTGAATCACAGATATCTTCTTGTCTTTGTCACTATGCTGCATTATATTGGTGCTACTGCTGCTAGAATTCGGACTATCCTAATTTTTGTGCAACTATGGTACGAGAGACTGACATCGGGGAGACTACTAGGATTCAGAGCAACAAGAAACAAAAAATCGCTTCGGCAATCGACCATGCTTCAGCTGATACCATTGAACGGATGTCCTGCAGCCAGGCATTGATTTGACTTATTGCACCCTCGCACCGGCATCTTATTCCCGGCAGTAATAAGCCAAGTGCCCCGGATACTTAGCTCCCACCCTCCTTTCCATCGACCCGATAGCATCTTCATTTGACATTGCCTTCTGATTGATATCCAAGCACAGAGGACC